AATCTACACATACATTTGCATTACTTAACAGTGATTTTAATGGAATGTTTTCACATGCCAAGTGCAGCTATGCCAGGTCCTTCGAACTTGCGGTGCAAACATCCAATTAATACTCGCTGCCTACTACATGTATGCGTGTCACCTCTTTAAGTACTACCCGAATGTTCGTTTACTATTTCGTAAATATGATTCATTAGTACTGGACGCCACTTAATAATACTTATATTCAAAAGAGAATAAGATATCTGAGATAAAAAAAATCATCTCCTTTGATACCGTTGCAAGAGAAAATGTACAAAATGGATTAAACAATGAAATTATCGAAAACAAATAAATAACCAAAACTCAGGAAAAATGTGAATTATCTAATAAGAATAATAATAATAATTTAATAATAACTAAAAAAAATAATAATAATATCTATAATAAGAACTGGCTCTATATTTGATAAATTAAACGATTGAATTAGGCCTCACAGCACCACCATCATTCATTATTAAACACAGTAATATTAATGTGATAAATTAAATCATAATAATTTTGTCAACACTTATCACGATAACTAAAACATGGCAATCTGCATTATAACTATTATTGTTACCATGATAATTAAAATACAGTGATTTGTATTAAAACTATAATCGCCATCAATCATTATGCAAACCAGCGAAGGAAACAAAACCTGATGGCATGAAGATTTGTGAAATCATTTCAACAGCCAGCCGAGCATCCGACAATGAAGCCGAGCAGGCAGCGACGAGCATTTCGGCGAACAACTCTACGTTTGAGGCATTTAACGATATCAGCACCTGATCCGTCTCTGCACGCTGCAGAAAACGATTTTCACGTCAGACTCATCAGTACCTACTTGGACGGGGAACATCCCCTTAAAATTTCAGCCTTCTGGCTTTTCAGGTACTCGAGTTAGCAACTTACCCAAAAAAAATTTCGTCGGGCCTGTATGTGGCTACCGCGCGGGTAAGAGCGTCAAATTCAAAAATCAAAATCCCATCTGTATTCACTCATTATAAAAATGGAAGACAAATTTTCTTCAGTAAATTTCCTTCAGTAAGTTCACTTAGTATTTTGAAAATCGGATCCTCACACCGATTGATCGAAAGATCTCAATATTTTGGACAATAACAAAACTATTTTTACTAATTTCAGTCCCAGGTAAGGATGTACCAGGCCTGCCAGTACAATCATTCGCTTTTTGCGCTAAACTTGAAGCAGTCAGACCCAAACTTAAAAAGCCAAAAAGTTCTGTGAAACACCGGTCTTTCTCGTCCAGTTGGCAAATTTCAGGCGCTTGATTAAGACCCAACCAGATCTCGAAGAACTTACTGATTTTTGCGCCCAACCAAGCTCTAGCATGACCTCAAATTGTCGTATAGTGTCCACAAAACAATTGAACTTACAGCTGTTTCATCCTCAAGAACGTCTATTACTTGAGAAGCAGCAAAACGTAGGAAGTTCGAATAGCGCGTATGGTAATTGCCTGCTCGTTCAATATGCGTGTACAGCTGCCAGATCTCCTTCAGTACTGCTTTGTCAGCTAAAAAATATTGAAAATTGAAGTTCTATGGAAAATAAAACAAAATTCAGTTCAGTAATTTTGAAAAATTTAAAATAGAGTAACATCTTATCACCACCCTAAAAATTTTTTCAAATTTTGTTGGAAATTTCGAGAATTAAGATGTGGAGTCGATGAAAAAATTTATACCAATTTCATATTTCTGGATTAATTCGCGAACAAGCTTTGCACTCGTTTTGTGCAGTTTTTCGTCCGAATTGGGTATTTGCTTGAAAAATGCCCGGCATACAGTGGCCAGTGCAGAAGCTTGTCGTGTGAAATCCGATGCCACTTTTCGTTCCTCGAAATCTTTATAGGATTCTAGTAGCCTGGGAAACAAATTGGCGAGCACAAAACGCAGCATCAGTGGCATAGCGGCATCCACTTCCGGCTCCTGCTCACCCTCCTTTTTTCCGTCAACCGTTTGCCCTAAAATTGCTTTGAAAACAAACTTATTCTTTCACGATTTAATTTCTCTTTTTTACTTCCTTTCTCACTTTGTTTACCCCTTCACTTACATCTATTTCTTCCTGTCACCTGCCTTGCAGATTAGACACATGACTATTCGAAACATGGCGGGTAGGAGGCTGTACTGACGATTCCCACTCCTACCC